TGTTTATAAACAAGACCACACTAAAGCTACCAGCACAACTATGTTTATTGCAGCATTATTTACCATAGCTAAGATATGGAACCAACCCAGATGCCCCTCTGTAGATGAATGTAACAAGAAAATGTGGTATATATACAAAATGGAATTCTATGCCTCCATCAGAAAGAATGACATTGCCCCATTTGTTAGGAAATTGAAAGTCTTGTAAAAAAAATTATAGAAAGTGAAGTAAGCCAGACCCAAAGAAACATAGGTGTCATGGTTTCCCTTATTTGAAATAATTAGTATATGTCTGAGACAAGCAGAAACGGTCAGATAAGTTGAAGTTAGGCAAAATGAACCCCAAGATAAGGATTCAAATGTTTTTTTTCTTTCTTGCAATTGTTTCTAACATATTTATAAGATGATTTCTTTGTTGCTTTGTATGTCCCTCCCCCATGGTATAACCCCTGCTTTCACTGTATTTGAGGTTGGTATAATTTATGGAGAGGAAGGGAAAAAACAAATTGTTTAAATAGGGATACAGGTGGACCCATTGCAACAATGAGATGTCTAAAAATGACTTAATAACTTTGATCAGGGTTCGGGTAGGGGTGGTGGGGAGTTGGGTGGGGGGCATGGTGGTGGAGATGGGAAGGGATGGGAAGGGGAAACAAAGGAGGAGGCAGCAATGCTTGATAAGATATGTACTCAATACCTTGCCCATGTAATTGTAATCCCTCTGTATGGTATTTTCACAATTAAAATAAAATAAAATACTCTACAAAAGAAATATGTACTCATTACCTTGTCCATGTAATTGTAACCCCTCTGTATGGTATTTTCACAATAATAAAAAAAGATTTTTGTTTAATGTCATGTTAGAGTTTACACTTGTCTTAATTATTAGAAATAAGAGGAATTCCTGGAGATAACTTTGCCTGCACTAGACTAGAACATATGATTATAGATGTACTTCAAAGCCCTGGTCTACCATACTTCAACTAGCAATACAACTAACTGCTTCCTAAATTTTAAAAGGAGGAGACATCCCTTTTAGCGGGTTGTGTGAACCCTAGGGCCATCCTATCTTCCTCTTCATTTTCCAGTGGCCACAAAGAGAGAATCTTCTCCAGGCATATTCAATGATTACTCTCACCAATGATGCCCAATTAGCAGGTCAACTAACCATTGAATGAAACCTCCATCCACACAAGAGAGCAAAGAAACATCTCAACCACATAAAGTGATTCTTCATGTACTCTAGCTCAGTGTTAGGAACCAATAAGAAATGTACAATTTATATTTTATGATAATATGATAAGTCATTAAAAACACATGTAATGTGTTTGGTGCTGATTTCAAGGTTTAAACACAATGTTTGGGCACTGGCCTTCAGTTTTTTGCTCAAGGTTACCAGCACTCAACCACTTGAGTCATAGCTCCACTTCCAGATTTTTGTGGTTAATTGGAGATAAGCCCAAACTTTCCTGTTTGGACTGACTTTAAACTGTCATATTCACATCTCAGATATCTCAGTTGCTAGTATTATGAGAGAAAGCTGGCACTCAACCAAGTATAAATTTCAAGGGTAAATTTTGCTTATATGTATGTCCTTAAAGTCATTATTATTAGATCCAACTCACCACTGTAGTTCCTATGGTCCACTCTACCATATCTTCAGATAAAGACAGTTGATTACCATGCAGAGCATATGGAGAAAACTTTCCTACTTTCATTGTAAGTTGAAGACCTTCTGGAAACTTCCAAATGTTCAGAATGTCATACTCTGGCTCTAATTTTCTTTTCTCATCCAAAATCATTTCATCTCCAACAGGATTATAAAATTGGATGTTCTTTATAAAAAGGTGTAACTAAAAGAGATGCATCATTATATGGTGAAGAAAAGCTCCTGATTGCCTTTAATCTCCAATTCTGAATTCTAGAATAGCACAGACAGCAATGAAGTATTCCAGAAGAAAATCTATAGATGAATAAAAATAACCTTCCTGAATCCTTGCCACTCAAAAGAGGAGTAGAAGGCCTTTTTCCAGAGAAATCAAAACCAGGCAAATAGCCATGAATAAGACAATTTTTCAGTTATCGACTCCATTTTTTTTATAAAATATTGTTTGAGCTTGCCAAACTTTTTATGCCAAAATTAAATGAAACTAGATGACTTATGAAAAATATGAATTAAAAAATGTTATTTGGTAGGTCATCCTTTGCAAGTACTGACGTAATTCAGGGAAAAGTTGTATTTACACTTTTGAAAACAGTAGCTATGAGCATGTTAAGGTCATTTGTAACTAGATGAATTCATAAGCCAGGTGTTGGCTCACACCTGTAATCCTAGCTACTCAGGAAGCTAAAATCTGAGGATCATGATTTGAAGCCAGGCCAGAGAAAAAAGACCATGAGACACTTATCTTCAATAAACCACTCAGAAACTGATAGAATTACTGCTGTCTCAAGTAATAGAGCACTATCCTTGAGCACAAAAAGACACAGAGACAGCATCCAGGACCTAAGCTCAAGCTTGAGCCCTAACACTAACCAAGAAATACATGTATGTATGAATGTATATGTGTTTGTGTGTGTATACATATATATACATGGTATATATTTTATCCTTGTTACTGACCTGGCCTGTTTTTCTTAAGAGCAATGAACACATTACAGAGTTCCTCACCAAAATTTAACCTATAATTTACTGGGTTTTGAAAAATACCTGAAATATTTAATTTAATACAGTAAGAAACCCACTAGGAAGTGTCTTTGCTCATGGTGTGTGCACTGAAATATAGAAAAAAAATTATCTGTGCAGGGTAAGGCACTGTCGCTTTAGTACTTTCCATTGTTTGAACTTCTGTTTGATGAAGAAGCATCTCATAGAGAGCCTGGCTACAGTATTGTATATATGGTAACTGTCTCCAGAGAGAATCCTGTCAAAAATATGCCCAGGCAACCAATCCAAAGAAGCATTATGAAGACAACTGTCCCATGTTACACATTCAGACTTGGAATCTGAACAATTAAAAGACACAAACCACAGCCTAGCAAGAAGAAAGTCTTCTGGGTATTTGGAAGGATTAACTGCCTTGATCAAATCTGTGAATCCAGAAACATCTGCATGATGGTATGTAAAAATGAGAGGTACATTGAATGAGCCTAGCATGAAATAGTTCTTTCTCGTGGTTAAATCCCACTGTGAGTTCATGATGCAAACTTTTCCTTTCATTAAAAGTTGCTCAAAACAAATCATTAAATCTAGAAGGGACTCATTATCACCATATATCATGAGGACATTTGCTGAAGATTTATTTATCTGACTATAAATTGTCATGAATTTGAACATCTGTGAGATGGTTTTGCTTGAGATCCCTAGCTCATAGGCTACGCAAACTCTGTTCTTAGCCATCTCTTCTTTCAATGTAACAAGAACCCACAAACCATTCTTATCTTCTGAGGTCAAGAGTCCCTCCAAGTTCCAGCTGAAGTGAAGCAGTAAGGAGACCATGGCAGTGGCTATTGATGTGTCCTTTGGGGCCATCTGATAGAGAGTAAGAAACTTCTTATGGTCACTCAGGGTATGATCAAAAGGCCCAAAGGTAAACTAAATGCAAAGAAAATTGGATGCTCCATGAATGAGAAGATTGCCATCCAGCACAATCTTAATCTTCAAGTATGTTAAGAACTAGTTGAAGTAGGTGAAAGGTAGATTTTTGTTTTAGTTTTTGAGAAAAAAATCAATCTTTTTATGAAATATATATTTATGTGTATGTCTCTTGTTCTTTGTCACCATTTCCATTAACTACTCCCATGTCTATCAGCCCAACTATTTCCTTGATTTTCCTAATTCTATTTTCAAATATGTACTTTTAATATTATGTTTTTCTTCACCCATTCATTGCCTGTTCTTCTGACTTTTTCTTGTAACAACTAACCCTCTCAGAGAAGATATGCTTCAGCTTTCTAGTGTTCATATTTTTATATTCATTAGATCAGAAAGGGTTACTCCATGGAATTCTACCCCCATATATGCCATACTTTAGTCCAAATAATCATGTATATATATATATATATATATATATATATAAATGGCTAAATGCATGTTCCATATGTATTTCCTATGACATGTTCATATTTCAGATGTAGTTTTTCCATATGAGAGAACACATTTTCCCTTTATCATTTTATACCTGACATGTCATTCAACATAATATCTTGTCCATATGCCCATGTGTGTGTGTGTGTGTGTGTGTGTGTGCACATGCATGCCAGTACAAGGCATGTACTCAAGCTTCATGCACTTCCTTGGCTGTTGCCCTCAATGTTGGTGCTCTACCACTTGAGCCACACATTCATTTACTGGTTTTGTGGTTAATTGAAGATAAAAAAAATTCCAGAATAACTGGGGTTACAAGTGTGAGTTACCAGTACCCTGCTCAACATACCAACACACTTCAAAATCATTTTGCACTTTCTGAGTTTTTAAATTATTGATAAGACTTCAAACAATAAATAATCCATTTGTTTCTGTGACTCTTCCATCCCATTTTCCAAACAGTGGGAATATACATATCCACCTATCTTTGAATACTTACTCTTTGATACCACAAAATCTCATAGGTTCATAAATCCAGGCTCTTATCATTCTCTTCTAACACCTGGAATAGCAACAAATGAGACATTTTTATATTCCCCAGCACATTCACCTTCACCTGTGGAAATCTGTAGAGTTCCAGCAATGTCTCAATGCGGGAAGATGTTATTCCTAATGGTCTTGTTAGTACTGCTATAGACTTGCTGTCTCTTTTACAGGAGTAGTTTAGAATCTTGTATTTCCCAAAGAGCCAAATGAAGGGATCCTTAAATACTGCCCAAGCTTCGAAGTAAATATCATAGATGTCAAATCCCAGAGTCAAGTTATGCAAAAATTCAGAGTTTTTGTTGATCTCCTCAATAGCAAAAACCAAGGCCAAAACAAGCTGATAGTTGTTGAACATAAACCTCCATAATGAACAAAGAAATTCAGAAGGAATGTTTCAAAAGTTATGACTTTGATGGCCCCACCATATATGTGTGTGTGTGTGTGTGTGTGTGTGTGTGTGTGTGTGTGTGTGTATGAATGTAGACCCTGTACTTACCAAACCATAACATAATTAAAGTAGAGCTCAACAGCAGAAACCATCACAGATAATACATAAACTCATGGAAACAGAATAATTTATTGCTGAGAACCAGTAGGTCATCAAAGAGATAAGAGGTGAAATTTACTCATTTTCAGGATTCAAAGTAAATAAAGACACAAAAGACCAAATCCTTTGGGAAACAGCAGGACAATACTCAGAGGAAAATTTATATCCATACATGCTTGCATCAACTTTTTAGAATAATCTCAAATCAATATCCTAATGAAGCAACTCAAGCTTCTAGACAAACCAGAGCAAGACAAACCCAAAACCAGCAGACAAAAAAATATAATTAGAGCAGAATTAAATGAATTAGAGACTTCGAAAACCAGCAGAGAATCCCCAAATACAGAAGTTGATTATTTGAAAAAAAATTATCATTGACAGAACCCTATCCAAATTAATTAAATATAAAGGAGAAGCCATCTAAATAAATAATATTAGAGATTACAGGAGGAAATCACCACAGATCCAAGCAAAATTCAAATATTCTTTTTCTTATTATGTAAATACTGTACAGAGGGATTACAATTACATGAGCAAGGTAATGAGTACATTTCTGATCCCGCATTGTTGCCTCTTCCTTTGTTTCCCCTTACCATCCCATCCTTTCCCATCTCCCGTCCCACCCATCCACCCCTCAAACATACCCTTGATGCCAAAGTTGTAAAAGTTCGTTTTTCAACTTAACCACCTGTACATCTCATTGCTGCAATGGGTCCACCTGTAAAAAAATCCAAATATTCTAAGGCAATACTTTATAAGCCTTTATGGCAACAAATATGATAATCAGGAAGAAATGAATATATTCCTACACAAAATACATATACCCAAACTGAATCAGGAAGACATAAACTGAATAAACAGACCCAGCAAAAGCAATGAGATTGAATTGGCAATAATTGACCTTCCAGGAAAAGCCCAAGACCAAATGGCTTCACAACCAACTTGGGAAAAGCTTTTGAAGGAGAATTATCACCAATACTCCTCAAACGCTTCAATGACATAGTAAGGGAAGGAACACTACCAAACATTCTATGAAGCCATAAGCACACATCAAGGAAAGAGAACTTTAGACCTATCTCTTGATGAACGTGGTTGCAACACTCCTCAACAAAATCAGAAAATGATAAAGAAGATAACACAGGACGATTGAATGGGATTTATCTCAGGGATGCAAAGCTACATTCACAGATGTAAATTATTAACCTATTACAACAGATCAACAGAAGCAAGGACAATAACTACATTATTATCTCATTAAATGCAGAAAAAGCCTTTGACAAGATCCAACACCTCATTATGATGAAATCTCTGGATCCATAGACCATTCCTCAGATTAAGAAAGAGTGTGTATGAGAAATCTACAGTCAGTATTATGCTTAATGGTGAAAAACTAAAGGCATTTCCCCTAAAATCAGGAATAAGAGAAGGATATACTCTCTCTTTTCACTTCAACATACTACTGGAATTCCTAGCAAGCCAAATAGGCAAGAGAAAACCATGCAGGGAATCCAAATATGGAAGGAAGGGGTAAAACTAGCCCTTTTTTTAGAGGGGGGTCTGGTCATGGGGCCTGAACTCTGGGCCTGGGCGTTGTCCCTCAACTCTTCAGCTCAAGGCTAGCGCTCTACCACTTGAGCCACAGTGCCACTTCCAGCTTTTTTCTTTTTTACTTATGTGGTGCTGAGGACTCGAACCCAGGGCCTCATGCATGCAAGGTAAGTGCTCTACCACTGAGCTACCTTCCCAGTGAAAAACTATCCCTTTTTACAGATGACATGATGCTATAGTTAAAAGATCCCGAAATCTCCTTCCACAGCCTATGGAGTTGATCCAAAACTTTGTTAAAATAGCCAGGTATAAAATCAACCCACAAAAACAAGGATCATTCACAACTTTGAGCACCCTGGGATATCTGGCCACAGTGTCCAGGAGGAGATAACTGCAAGTTTAGTCAGGAGTGGGGTAGCTCTGTGAGATTAAGCATTTTATCAGCACATGTAGTACCCCTATGTGTACAAGCATGCAGCCTTTGCAGTCCGCCTGGTTCATAGACTAGAAGTCTCTCTGTCACCAGCAAATGTTTCTGGGATTCTAAGAAAGGAAGCTCTTCAGGTGAAGCATTTATTCATTTGGTGTTTTTAAGAATTAACAGTGTATTAAGCAGAACTATACTTTACAAACTTTCCACATACACTAATAAGAAAACTTGTGCAGTTCTGCACAATGAAAATGGAGAAAAGATTTTACCTGCTACCTGAGAAATAGATGAAGTGTCTCTATTTCCATCGAATTACTGTATGTTGATTTTGACATCCCTGATACATTTGGATGTCACAGAGTAAAACATTGACATTGTGAGCTGTGTACAATGAGCCATTTAAAAGTTTTTCTGGAGTTCAGTCTCACTTGTGGGAGTTGCTGAATTCTTCAAAACGCTCAACCCAATACTAAAATGTATTCCACAGAATACAGGTCGGGACTCTCCATACAAAGAAGCAGACAAAGTGGTAGTTTTTTGGTCAGAACTGAGGAACTGATGTATGAATCCTGTCCAAAGAAACCATAATGCCTAAGGCCATTTTGCTCACAGGGTAATGAATATGCAAAGGATGAAAAAGTGTTTAAACCTACAAACTTCTAAGATGAGTCAGAAAGAAAAAATGACTGGGTACAAAGTAAGAGTAACAAGAACTCAGAAAGGCAAAGATAGTATGACTTCAGAAAATACTGAGAATGGCTTGTGTTTCTCAAAACAAGGTTCTATATATGACTTCTATTCAGTAAAAAGGGGTTTTTAAAAAAACATTTTGCTTGTGGTATGTGCCATCCAACCAAAGAAGCATTACCTGTGTAGGGGAAGGTACCATCCCTCTCTTATTGTCTAATAGAAACCCTTCTGTTTGATGAAAAAGGATTTCATTCAGGGTCTGGGATACAACATACATAGCACTGAATGTATTGTAACTCTCTTTAGACATAATCATGTGAAAATGTGTTCTGGCAATCATTCCAAGAAGACATTGTGTGGACAATTCTCTCTTGCTACACAGTGAGACTCAGAAACTAGTCAATTAAAAGAGAGAAATCACAACCTAGCAAGGTAAAAGTCTTCTGAGTATTTAAAAGGGTTAACCTTTTCAGAGGGGGGCCAAGATGGCAACAGGACAGTAGAGAAACACCACAGCTGTCTCCAACCAAACAGATTTCTAATTTCAATGCATAATTCCCCAAAACACCAACAACAGCAAAAAGATGAACACCCAAAGAAAAACAGTAGGAGAAAGACAGACAGAAAGAGAAAGAGAGAGAGAGAGAGAGAAAGAAAGAAAGAAAGAAAGAAAGGAAGGAAGAAAGAAAGAAGGAAGGAAGGAAGGAGGGAGGGAAAGAGGGAGGGGGAGGGAAGGGAAGGGAAGGGAAGGGAAGGAGGGATGAAAGGAGGCAGAGGGGGAAGGAAGAACTTCAGAAGAGAAAAGCACCAACCCTTGCTTGCTGCACAGCAATGGCCAGCTTAGCAAGGCGGGGGCTGCCAGAGACCCCAGAGCCACAGGGGGTTGTCTGCAGATCGCCAGCACAAAAGACACCCAAGGTGCCCGGGCTGGACCCGCTGATTTCAAACAGAGAAATCTCAGAGCTTGGAACCTGCACAAAGATCCTTCCCCCATCTTTAACCAGAGCGCTGAAGCCTCATCCCACCAAAACCACTGGGCTTCACAGCCAAAGGGGAAACCCCAGAACTTCAGGGGTCAGTACACAGAACACCAGTGCAGAAGACTCCCAAGGTGCTGGTGCCCACACAAACAGTGCAAACAGAGACAGAAACTTCAGAACTCAGAACCTGAGTGAAGCCCCTTCCTCCACCCTTCAGCCAGCAGCCAGCTCAAAAAACGCTTGCAGCACTGACAAGGACAGCATCACCAGAGGCAGAGAAGCACAGACCTAGAGCGGCCACCACACGGCCCAGTCCACAGCATCTCAACCAAACACAGAGGACAGTGGCAACCAGCCACCTACATCACACAGAAACAGCAATCTGCCACAGCACCACTGGAGAGTTCCCAACTAGCTCCAGGGTGAATGCCCCACAGGGGACAGCAACCCCCCAAGTGAAACAAGTGCTGGCGGTAACCCCCAAAGTTTGACCCAGAGCCCCACCACCACCTGAACTAAAGGTCCCACTAAAACTGGGAACTGGGTCCCACCAGCCTGTGGAGCATATTTAGTCCTCCAGGCTTGATCAAGATCTTCCCTGGGAGGGAGCTGAATGCCCAAGCCAGGAACAGCGCCCACAGGACACACCAGCAAGCAGTGGGAAAAAACCAAACTGCATACCCCAACTGCTTACCATAGCTGCATACCCCAGGGTCATACCCAGCAACACAGGTCCAGTTGGCATGACCTAGGCAGGGGTCTGGGAGTCAGCCAGTCCTGGAGATGCCTGAGCTGCACAACACACCCATCCTGGTTAAAATCAGAAGCTAAGCACGCACCTCTGCAGAGGGGTACAGCAGGGAACCATGGAAATCCCACCCATGATGGCAACAGACCTATGTGTCCAGGGCAGGAGAACCAGAAGCCCAAATCCCACCAGAGCCTGACTTGTATATCCCAGGCCAGGGGCTGCCCAATTATCAGGAACTTATAGCAGACACCAGCATAAGAGAGAGTACATCCAGAACACCCAGTCTCACCAAGAGCACCCATAGGAGAAAGCATGAATAGTCTAGGCTGCTCAGTCCTTGGCTAAAGGCAGGAACTGCCTGTGATATCCAGAAGAAAGCTGAGAGCCCGATGTGGATCAGACTAGCAGT